TGCTCCTAGTAGCTGATTTAAGTAGTTTAAATACTGAACGCAGGCCTGAGCAAACCGGCCGTGAACACGAGGCCCTTCCCCCAGACGCAGGCCCAGGTCCACCCAGTAATGAAACGTCCTTCCCCTACGATCCCAGCACTACTGGCAGAGTGGCAGGAAGCGCGACGTGGTCTTTGCAGCCCCACAAAGAAGCAGGACAGCTTCACCTGAGTCGCCAGAATGAGGTGGCTGCCTGGAAGCTGACGCGGTCAGAGCAGCGCTGGTGACAGCTCTCAGCTGGGAGCCACCCAGCCAGTTCTGGGTGCAAAGTCCCCCCACCCGACCCCAGATTGTAAAGGACTCGGATTCCTGTTTCATGGGGGTCCAGGAAGAGACTGGAGATGCTTAGCTAGTGAAGAGAGCACCTGGGGAGCATGAAAACTGCAGGAACTGAAAAGCACGGAGAAGACAGCGTCACCAGCTAAGGGCCCCGACCAGGACCCCGGGCTACGTGGCCTGTGTCGCTAGACGGGGAGGTACCTCCGAATGAGCACCTCCATAGCTGACTGTCCTTCCCAGGCCCCCTTCTGCGTGTCTTGCCTGTAACACCCCTCTGGAAGGAGACCAGTCAAGGACAGGCTGGAGGCTAAATAGCCCAGCTTCCCTGACTCAGGGGGGCAACTCAGTGATGGGGTCTCTTACGGACCCCAGTGCAGAATGCCGCTTCCTTCCTTCCTTTCCCCGCTCCGTCCCCATTGCCCTCCCAGGCTTCCTGGGATCAGCCCCCTAACAAACTTCCACTCAAATCCTTGTCTCAGGCCCAGAAATAAATCCAACCACCTACAGTCAATCTTCGACAAAGGAGGCAAGAACATACAACGGAGAAAAGCATCTCTTCAGCAAGTGGTGATGGGAAAACTGGACAGCCATGTGGAAATCAATGAAGTTAGAACACACCCTCTCAACACACAGAACAGTAAACTTGAAATGGCTTAAAGACTTAAACACAAACATGACACCATAAAACTCCTAGAAGAGACCATAGGCAAAACATTCTCTGACATAAATCGTAGCAATATTTTCTTAGGTCAGTCTCCCAAGGCAATAGAAATAAAAGCAAAAATAAACAAATAGGACCTAATCAAACTTAAAAGCAAAGGAAACCATAAACAAAACGAAAAGACAACCTATAGACTGGGAAAAAATACATGCAAATAATGCAACCGACGAGGGGTTAATTCCAAAATACGTAAACAGCTCATACGGCTCAATATCAAAAAAAGAACAAACAACTCAATCAAAAAATGAGAAGACCTAAACAGACATTTCTCCAAAGATATACAGGTGGCCAACAAACACATGAGGATATGCTCAACATCGCCAATTATCAGAGAAATGCAAATCAAAACTACCATGAGGTATCACCTCCCACCAGTCAGAACGGCCATCATCAAAACGTCTGCAAACAATAAATGCTGGAGACGGTGTGGAGAAAAGGGAGCCCTCTTGCACTGTTGGTGGGGCTGTGAATCGGTACAGCCCCCACAGAGAACAGTATGGAGGTTCCTCAAAAAGCTAAAAATAGAGTCACCATATGGTCCCAGCAATTCAACTCCTGGGTGTATATCCGGAAAAGACAAAAACTCTAATCCGAAAAGATACATGTACCCTAATGTTCATAGCAGCACTATTTACAATAGCCAAGATATAAAAGCAACCTAAATGTCCACCGATAGATGAACGGATAAAGAAGATGTGGTCTCTGTATACAATGGAATATGACTCAGCCATAACAAAGAATGAAATTCTGCCATTTGCAGCAACATGGATGGACCTAGAGGATATTATACTAAGTGAAGTAAGTCAGACAGAGAAAGACAAATACTGTATATCACTTATATGTGGAATCTAAAAAAATAATACAAATGAATTTATTTACAAAACAGAAACAGACTCACAGACATAGAAAACAAACTTACGGTTTCCAAAAGGGAAAGGGGGAGGGGGAGGGATAAATTAGGAGCTTGGGATTAACATATACACACTACTATATATAAAATAGATAAGCAACGAGGATTTCCTGTATAGCACAGGGAACTATATTCAACAGCTTGTAATAACCTATAACGGAAAAGAATCTGAAAAAGAAATATATATAAAACTGATCACTTTGCTGTTCACCTGAAACGCAATACTGTAAATCAACTATACTTCAATAAAGTAATAACATATTTAAAAGAGCATTTTATAATTAAAACGAATAGAGTAAAATCCTTGTTTCAGGGCAGGGGCACTGACCTCAGACCAAAGGGGAGGCCGTGGTGCACTTTTCTCGTGCACTGTGTGCAACACGCTGCCGCAGCCCGATGGCGGGACCCTCATAACAAACTTACGGTGTCTGGCGGGGTGCAGCAGGTTCTCTGCTGGGGGCCATGCACAGCCGACCGTCCAGGCTGCTCCAGCTGCAGCTCGGGTCCCCCAGCACCCCTCAGGTGGTTAGCAGAATCCAGTTGCCCGCAGTCTGGGGTCTGAGGCCCCTGCTGGCTTCCTGGCGGTCGGCCAGAGGCCGTGCTCAGCTCCTGGAGGTGCCCGCCGACACCAGTACGTGGCCCGCAACCCGGCAGCCTCACCTTCAAGGCCACCAGGAGAGGACCTCCACTGCACTGAAACTCTGAAGGCTTCTGCCACCAGCTGGAGCAAATTCTCCCTTAAAGGGCTCACGTGATTAGTGAAGGCGCGGCCAGGTAATCTCCCTATTTTAAGGTCAACTGATTTGGGGCCTGAATTACACCTGCAGAATCCCTTCCCACAGCACTGAGATTAGCGTTTGATTGAATAACTGGGAAAAGGTGTGTGCACCCGGGGCTGGTGAACTTTGGGGCTTCGAGTTCTGCCTACCAGGAACGGACAGCTTGGGGACCGAAACAAACATGGTTCCTGGAACCTCGGTTCCGACGATCTGGATCTGCGTTCATAAAGGACGTGAGTTTTCTACTTAGTAGCTGTAGGGCTTTAGGCAAGTATTTTAATCTCTCTGAGCCTTAGTCCTGTCCAGGAAGCTGCTTCAGAACAGGCTTTGTGGCTTCTTGTCAGGAATTCTGCGCGGGGGACCGAGACAGGCTAGTTCTGGAATATCTTTCACTGTTTGAATATTTGATTTTCAGGTCCCTTTGACCACAGAAGTCTATGCCTCTACGTGATCATTCTTGGAAGAGTTAATATACTTGCTCATCAGAATAAGGCCTTAATGGATTGGTATTAAATTATCTTCTTGGTAAGGATTTTCATGAGGGGGTGGAGTCTGTGTGCTCAAGGTGGGGGAAGGGCAGCAAGAGGTGGGCAAAAATGAAGAAGGCAGCTGAGCCAGCCTTGCAACCTCCCTGAGGACTGGCTCCAGTTCAGTGGTTCAAATTTGCCAGTGCAGGAAGTTAGGACGGAAACTTCTGTCTTAGGCTCTGGACTCGCAGCAGCAGCCCCGCAGGGACAGGCCCCACTCGGACGTACGCCTGCGCTTCCTGGTTCCCTTGTCTTGCTTTCACATCACCTCCTTCCAGCCCAGCAGTAAGGCCGGAGAGCAGGTCTGGGCCTGCGTTAACACTGGTCAGCCTCGACAGCTCACCTGTGCCCCATCCTCGGCTTCATTCCTCCGACCTCAGTCCTGGGATCTCAGAGGGACCCAAGCTCGCATGAATTACAAAACTATGCAACCAATGAAATGAGAACACTTCCTAATATCATACACAAAAATAAACTCAAAATGGATTAAAGACCTAAATGTAAGACCAGACGCTGCACAACTCTCAGAGGAAAACACAGGCAGAACACTCTATGACGTAAATCACCGCAAGATTCTTTTTGACCCACCTCCTAGAGAAATGGAAATAAAAACTAAAATAAACAAATGGGACCCAATGGAACTTAAAAGCTTTTGCACAGCAAAGGAAACCATAAACAAGATGAAAAGACAACTCTCAGAATGGGAGAAAATATTTGCAAATGAAGGAACTGACAAAGGATTAACCTCCAAAATACACAAGCAGCTCATGCAGCTCAATAACAAACAAACAAACAACCCAATCCAAACATGGGCAGAAGATCTGAACAGACATTTCTCCAAAGAAGATATACAGATGGCTAACAAACACATGAAAGGATGCTCAACATCACTAATCATTGGAGAAATGCAAATCAAAACTACAATGAGGTGTCACCTCACACCAGTCAGAATGGCCATCATCAAGAAATCTACAAACAATAAATGCTGGAGAGGGTGTGGAGAAAAGGGACCCCTCTTGCACTGTTAGTGGGAGTGTAAATTGATACAGCCACTATGGAGAACAGTATGGAGGTTCCTTAAAAAACTAAAAATGGAACTACCATACAACCAAGCAATCCCACTACTGGGCATATACCCTGAGAAAACCATAATTCAAAAAGGGTCATGTACCACAATGTTCATTGCAGCTCTATTTATAATAGCCAGGACATGGAAGCAACCTAAGTGTCCATCGACAGATGAATGGATAAAGAAGCTGTGGCACATATATACAGTGGAATATTACTCAGCCATAAAAAGGAACGAAATTCAGTTATTTGTAGTGAGGTGGATGGACCTAGAATCTGTCATACAGAGTGAAGTAAGTCAAAAAGAGAAAAACAAATACCATATGCTAACACATATATATGGAATCTAAAAAAAAAAAAAAGGTTCTGAAGAACCTAGGGGCAGGACAGGAATAAAGACACAGATGTAGAGAATGGACTTGAGGACATGGGGAGGGGGAAGGATACACTGGGACAAAGTGAGAGAGTGGCATGGACTTATATACACTACCAAATGTAAAACAGATGGCTAGTGGGAAGCAGCCGCATAGCACAAGGAGATCAGCTCGGTGCTTTGTGGCCACCTAGAGGGGTGGGATAGGGAGGATGGGAGGGAGACACAAGAGGGAGGGGATATGGGGACATATGTATACGTATAGCTGATTCACTTTGTTATAAAGCAGAAACTAACACACCATTGTAAAGCAATGATACTCCAATAAAGATGTTAAAAAAAACCCCACAAAACTATGCAACTGTAAAAGTCACCTGCGAATCTGCACGGTATACACGTACTCCACGAGTTAACTAAAATTTGACTGTGCAACGCCCAGTACACAGAAGTGTCTGGCTGCACATTGCTTCTCTATCCTGTAATTCACCAAATCTCTCCCCGCTTCACCCGAAGCAAGCAAGCGGTCCTCGGCCATGCGCCCCCTGCCGGCCAGTGAGGGGAAATGACTGGTCCAAGACGTCTGGTTTCCTCCCAGGCAAAGCGCACGCACGTGCCTCTCACCCTCCCTCTTCACAGCTCTGTTCGAGCTCTCTCAGGGCATCCCTTTCCTATATAATGCGTCTCTATCTTCTTTAATCTCCATCTTTCTTCTAGTTATCAAAAAATTTTAAAGTATTCCTTTATATCCAGACAATGATACTAATTGTGAAGGATGGATGATCCAGTTGTTTAAGGGCTGTGTGCATCTAAGATACTCCTGCTCCTGGAGGCGCCACCCATACCATATCAAAAGTATTTAAATTTCCGTTTTGTAAAGTTTTTATTTTATTATAACTTATATGTTATGATATAAAAGTTAAGTTGCATTTGACTAATTGATGTGCTATGTTTCATTTAATTAAACATTAATTTAACTATTGCAGGTTTTTCTTTTCATATTTTGGAGTTGTCACCTCCACACCCCATCTTCTCAGGTCCTGAAAACTAGCACGGGCTATGCTTACAGGTACCCAGTGGAAAACTGGCTTTGCTGATAAGATTAAAAGAGTAGACCTAACAAATACTTCTTCTAATTAAGAAAAACAAGAAAATATTGGCAGCAAGTTACAAAAGCATCAGACTACGAGTGTTCAACAAAATTTGGTATAATCAATAATAAATGTAACAAAATTAATCCGCCCCGTAGTTGAAATGATGCTTGTTACTGGTTTTGTACCACATGACAACTAGGCATAGATAATAACTGATGATAAACAAGTAGCATTTCTTCACAGTCAAATAAAGCATGTCTGGGACTTAGTTGGCAAACAAAGGAGGGAACTGTGAACAGGAAAACAATTTGGGGGTTTCTCTGAAGACTCCTGGCCGCACAAGTGAGGAGGTCCCGGAGACTGTATTTTCCCAGAACTTCAGTGCTCGAAGGTCCGATAAACACTCTTAAGAGGTACCTCAATATGATTTTATAGTTAAAAAAGGCACTGCATATTTCAAGTGCATCTTCCCTGGCGGATTTTACAAGTTTGGTGGTAAGTGGCTGCTCGCCCCTCTGCAAAGACTATTCTAGAGAAAGCTGTGCAGACCACGTGGTGGGGGGCACGGTGTGGGCCGGGAGTCTTGTGTTACAGGTGAAAAGCCTGGCAGTTGGGATGGGGCATGGGTGAGCCAGGGAGCCCCCGGAGAGCAGAGGGTGGTGACGGAGGGAACAGGACCGCAGCAGCCTGGCTGGATACCCAATGCCTACTTGCTGTTCACCTCTGCCCTGCACACTTTCAGCAGAAGACAGAATGATTAGGCTCTGCAGGGCTTACTGGCTTTCTCACCTCGGAGAGGGGAATACCGACGTCAGTCTTTTCCATAATCTGTTTGCCTTGAAACAGAGCAAACCCTGGGCTCTGGAGCTTCCGAGAAAATGACCAGCACCCCGTCCGTGCCCAGCTTGGCCCCGTGGCCATCAGCACGGCTGGCCTCACCAAAAGTCTCTGGCAACTCAGATTTTGGTGTGAAGAAAGCCTGCATTCAGAAGACAAGTGACGAGGGAGCCAGAAAGTTGGAAAGTGGGGGGAAAAGGCTCTCTCAGGTTTCATGCCTCCTGCAGGGGCTGGTCCAGTCTGTGCCCTGCCCTCGGGGTGCCTGTGCTTAGAACTGCCCTGCACAGCTCGGGGACGCCCATCGACCTGCAGACCCTCAGGGTTTGGGGGTGGGGAGGAACATCCTCAGCTCCCCGCTTAGGAGCTCTGCAGCTCGTCATTCCCACAACACCTTTCCTTGCTGTGCACAGCCTCGTGGACTAGAGGCCAGGATTGTAACATGGAAGTGTGTGCACTGTATTACGAGGCACAGAGGAGGGCACATTGTGGAGAGACTGACATTGGCGCTGAGCCCTGATTTATGGAGAAGAGCTCCCTGGAAGGAGGGAAGGAAACAGTGATGCCAACTGCAATAGCTAAGATTGCTATAACACTATACAGTCTCCGGGACCCCCTCACTTGTGCGGACAGGGGGTCTTCTAGGTGCTTTCCCATATTAATTCATTCAGTCCTCAAAACAACCCCAGGAAGCAGGTACTGTTATTATTCCGCTTTACAGATGAGGCAATAGAGGCACAGAGAGGTCAAGTAACTTGCCCTAGATCACACAGCTAATAAGTGGCAGAGTCAGGATTTGCACCCACTCCATCCATCCAGGGCCTGTGCTCTTAACCACTCAGGGAATGTGGGGTGGGCTGAATAGGGGAAATTCACTCCAGTCCTGTGAAAAGCCTTGGCCATGGGAAGCAGAGTTTGCTCAGAGAATTTGGTACGGTCCAGGTTCTCTAGGTTACGGGGAAAATGGTAGCGGTTGGAAAAAGGTTACACATATTTGAGAATTTGTGAGATTATGTCTCATTTAAGTCATAACATAAGAATAACAGTATCTTTCATTCTTAATGTCCAAGGCAAAAATGACTGAAACCATGTTTTAAAGGAACAAACAAAAATATCTAAATAACCCACGAAAGGGAAAAAAAGGAAAATATCAAACGCGAACAGTGAAAAAAATACATCTAGAGGAGTGTGGAAAGACGTACTTGTGTTCTTTAGTATTTTATAAATTTTCTAATTTTGTATTCAGAAAATATGTATACATGAAATGCGTTCTTACCACAATAAAAATATGTATGTATATATACAACATACGTGTATATTACACACACAGTGTACGATACATTTTTTTCAATTATGAAAGGTCCAGATTGACAATTCTAGTAAAAATAATCCATACTGGGACATGAAACATTCCAGAAGATAGCTGAGAAACATTACATATATTTACTCTAAATTATTACTGTCTGGGGCAAAAATGTATAAACTGGTGGCGCTGACATCTTTAAAGTAAATTAAACTGGAGTTCAGACTGTTGGTGCTTTAGACAGTCTTTATAAAAAGGAAGCACCTCAAATGCTTCCAGCAAAATTCCTCCATCTTCATCAAGAGATGCTTTTACTGAAAACCTGGAAATGTGCGCAGTCACGGGAGCAGCGAGGCTGTTTCAGACGTTTCAGGGGAAAGAGGGATCGAGGTGCCTCATCCCTCGGGCCTTCTCCGAGGGCACAAACAAATAGGATGTGACCGTTCCAGGATAATGGATACAATTTTATTGCTAAGATGGTTCTTGGGTTTTCATTATTCTACAGAGGAAGCTGATGTTCTCAAAATTTCAGGACCCCAGCTAATATATTTCAACTAGATCCCATCAGTCACTTAGCAACGCATCAAGCAACGGTAATTACCACCATCACGGTGCCAGGCATTCAGAGGGTACTTTCACTAAGAGGCTCTCAGCGGGAGGCAGGAGAGGGGGAAGGGCAGGCAGAGCCCTTTAGTAAGACACAGGCCTAGCCTTCCACAGGGAACTCACACCTTCCCCCTCCAGTCTGAATTTTGTCATCGTCACCCCAAAGTCCCTTAGGGGTGGGAGTGGCCCAGACGCAGTCGATGACATCAGGCCCAAAGCAGGAAATGGCCCACGGTAGGCAGACACTGACTCACCTCCCCCATCACCCTGCCCGACAGCCAGAAGAGCTGTTCCTTTTAGACACACAGAGAAGCCAGCAACAACCCCCTTCGCCCCAGACCTCGTCAAAGCCTAAGCCAGGGAACAGAGGTTCCGTGGGCCCCGTTTCCTGCTGTTGTCTGCACAGGTGCCGTGTGCCCATGTGGTGGCGTTTGGGTCACGCATATGGCAGAGGAGGGCAGCTCAGAGTCCTCGGGTGTGTCACCTTAGGTCGGGCAAGCGCTATTTCCAACTCTGCCCGCGTGCTTCTCTGATTATACAGGAACAGACATGGGGCGGGTGCCGGGGAGGAAGCAGGCCGGGTGCACACTGGGTGGCAGTGAGGCAGCCTTTGCTGCCAGGGATCCCCAGAGGCCCCGGCCTGCTGGAATCAATGCTGTCACTTAATATTTGTGAACTGAGCATTCAGCGAGTAAGCGTCTCTCATCTTCACAACGTAACAAAACGACCCGACCAGGACACAGAAAAGTGGACACCCTCCACGCGTAGAGAGATGCCCACCTGTTAAGGTCCCCTTGTCCCCAGTACCATCCCTTCCAGGTCTCATCTTCTGCTTCTACTCGGCCCCAAATCCCCACCTTGAATGAAACAATGAAGGCCAAGACACAGTAATCTCTAGAAAATCTTCGTGGAACTGTGTAATCACAGAAGTTACCTGGAGCAGAGCTGTTCTCTGGAGAGGTTCTGGAAGGCTCCAGCTGGTCGTGAAGAGCCCAGGGAGCGGAAGCTGGGGGTAGCGGTGGTGAGAAGGTCGAGCCAAGCCCTAGGCATGGGGGTACAGCATCAGTGGGATGGGCTGAGCGAGGGGAGCCCAGCAGCACCGGGAGGGAGAGAGGAGGAGGGAGCCTAAGAGATACACCCCCATCCCAGGAGGGGGAACCAGGCACCTGCCTGCCCGCAGAGGGACTCCGAGGACTGGCTTCCCGAAGCAGGGGTGATGAAGCTGTGACTTTGCCCACCAGTAACATGACAAATGGGCTTAATATGTATAAGGACAGGATCACCTTGGGTTTTATGCGGGCATTTTTGCTCCATAAACTTGACCCGCTTTCATACAGAGCTTCTCGTTTCCTACTCACAAAGCTGGCTGCAGGGCACCTATAATTATCATTTTATAGCTGGAGAAACTGGTCTCAGAGAGAAAGAGAAGGAAGCAGTCCCTGGTCTCCACTCCCTGGCCACCCGTTCAGGATGGTTCGTAGGGATAATTACGGTTGGACCTTACCTCACCCTGACTAAGCCTTTGAAACTCACCTGGGCTTTCTCTTCGTAGAAGGAAGCTAGATGCCTTCACTTACAGGCTTTGTGGCTGGTGGCTGGTCAACTCTTTGAGCCTCCTTTTCCAAGCCGTGAACTTGGGATGGTAATAATGTTTACTCTAGAACAGCAGAAATAGAATGTGAGCCACGTAGGTAATTTAAAATTTTCTAGTCGTCACTGTGCGTCTGGCAGTCATTTAAAAAATTTAACAGAAGCAAGTGAAATTAATTTCAAAAATATATCCAAGATATTCTTTTGATAAGTAATCAATATAAAAATTAGTAATGGAATATTTTACATTCTTTAAACTTCGTGAGTCCATGAAACCGCATGAGTATTTTACACGAAAGCACACCCCAGTTCAGACTCCCAGGGTTCAGGTGTTGAGTGGCCACATGCGGCTGGTGGCCTGGAGCTGGAGGTCGAGCCCCATACGGTGGCTGTGGGCACGAGGGGACATAACGCGTGGAAGGCACGTGCTCGGGCTGACGCCGGGATGCCATGCTCGCTGGGACACCCAGGCGCGCACGCGATATTCTGCACATGCAAGCGGCCTGTGCGAGGACCCAGGACCCAAAGCACACGCGAGACAGGCCCAGGCGCCAAGGCACTTCTCCAGGCCCCTCCCCCACCGACCGCCTTCCACACGTGGGCAGAGGCGGAGGGCGCCCACCCCGCCATCCCTGGCCCCCCGAAGACAGCCATTCTCGGCCCGCACCGGGACCCCCATCCTCCCCGCCCCGCACCCCCTCCCCGCGGTTGCACCCGCCGCCATTCCCACCCCGAAAAGGAGGAGATCGAGGCCGCGGGCCCGGGACCCTGCCCGGGAGGCAGGGAGCCTAGGGACGCCGCAAACCCTACGGGAAAGGCTGGGCTGCCCACCACGGGCACCCCGCGCAGCCCACCCCGGCCGGAACCTCGCGCCGCGCCCCGGCTCCCCCTCGCGGTGCCGCAGTCCCCTCGCCCCTCCGCGCCGCCCCCGCGCCCCGCCCGCTGACGTCACCGAGCGGGGGCGGGGCATCCGCTATAAAAGGCGCGGCCGGAGGGGCGGCGGCAGGTTTCTGCGCCCGTGTCCGCCGCCTTTCGCTGCGCACAGCCTAGCCTAGGGCCCGCGCCTCCACCCGCTCCGCAGCCGGCACCATGCGCGAGATCGTGCACATCCAGGCGGGCCAGTGCGGCAACCAGATCGGCGCCAAGGTGCGCGCCGGGGCGGGCCGGGCAGGGGGCGTTGGGTCCCCAGGGTGAAGACCTAGGAGGGGTCGGGAAGGGGTGGCGGGTCCCCAGGGTGAAGGCCGGGGGGGGGGAGGGGGAGGGGGGGCGGGTCCCCAGGGTGTGCGCCAGGGCCCGGGAGGGGCCGGGGAAGGGGCGGCGGATCCGCAGGGTGCGCGCCAGGGCCCGGGAGGGGGCGACGGGTCCGCAGGGTGAAGACCGAGGAGGGGTCGGGGAAGGGTGGCGGGGCCCCGGGTGCGCGCGAGGGGCGGGAGGGGGGTGGCAGGTCCCCAGGGTGCGCGCCAGGGCCCGGGAGGGGGCCGCCGCCCCGGGTGGCGCGTTCTCGGCGCGGGCTCGGGGCGGGGCCCAGGAACCACAGAACCTGCCGCGGTGCGCGCGGCGACGCAGCTGTGTGTGATTAATCAAGGCCCCTTTGAAATTTCCTCGGACCCGGCCCTTCTGAGGGACGCGGTTGGTATTTCCCTGGTTGACTAGCCTCTGAGATTTGGATAGGGCCTTTGGTCGTGATAATCCAGTGGCCTCATATGGAATTTAATTTGTATATTTTGTCTGTAGTTTGAATGAAAAAATGCAGTGTCATTGGGTGACAGATGTTATGGAGACTTCTCGTGGGTCCGAAAGACAGGGATGTTAGATCCCTTAATGCGAGCACCAGCTAGACAGAATGACGTATAACGTCGGAGTCTGATTCCCGCCTGCGCGGCGGCAGGTGGCCGTCCTGGGCTGTGACTGTCGCCCGCAGTGGGCGAGGCGCCACGGGCATGGTGCATGGGTGTGGGCGGGCGCCTGCACGAGGACGTGGTCTCTTTCAGAACCGCCATATTGCCCCCCCAGCCCCCCCCCCCCCTTTCCTGCTGCAAATTCACAATGCAGCCTGCAGCCTGCGCCCGCACCGTGGCCAGCTCCAGCCACTGCCCCCCGCATGCTCCTGGGCTCCTGCCCGCGCTACCCCACCATTCCGCTGCTGCAGTCAGTGGCCGGAGGGCAGTAAGATGTCAGCGCCTAACACTAAGCCGCTTGGAGAGCTGGGTCGGGTTTGTGCCAGGAAACACGGATCCCTGCCGGCAGCCGCAGGGCGGGGTCCACCTGTGTGGGTCCTGCCAGGACCCGTCCATCAGCTGGGGTGCTGACACTCAGCCCTGCCGGGGGTGACAGCCCCCGCGGCTGTGGCCACTCTCCTCCTTCAGGGCTCCTCCCAGCTTTTCAGCCTGTCGCCATCATATGGCTGATGCGCGGCGGATTCCTGAGCCCCTCAGCAGCAGCTGCTGGAGGATCAGGGCAGGCAGCTATTGGTCTGTCTGGGTCTCCTCGACTGTCTGACCACAACGCCGCCGTTCCAAGGACAGGAGAGGGAGAAGGGAGCCATTTTTACTGATACTTTGGATGCCAGGCCGCCAAGCGGTTTTCTTTATTTCCAGTTTTGGGAGGTCATCAGCGATGAGCATGGGATCGACCCCACGGGCAGTTACCATGGAGACAGTGACCTGCAGCTGGAGAGAATCAACGTGTACTACAATGAAGCTGCCGGTGATTATTGGAAGCTTTCCTGCCCCCTCACCTTGCTTTCTGTTCTGCGGCAGACGCAATGTATTAGGAACATGCAAATGACAAAGAAAGGCTTCCTGCATGCATTTTTAACTGCTCAAAAACACACTTCAGAGCTCCTGAAGTCTCCTGCATGTTTGTCATGACGAGGCAGGCCATTATCTCCCTTTGTAGAGCAGAAACCGCCTCTAATCTCCTACTTTTGTCTCATCTGGAATGTTCCCTGCTGAATTCTGCCGTAAGAGGCCCAGAGAGCAGGGCGCTGTCTGTGATTCCTTTGCCTACCGCAGCTCTGAGTCCTGCTCTGTCCCCGCAGGTAACAAATATGTGCCTCGGGCCATCCTGGTGGATCTGGAGCCGGGCACCATGGACTCGGTCAGGTCTGGACCCTTCGGCCAGATCTTCAGGCCCGACAACTTCGTGTTCGGTATGTAGCGTGGTCCCCGGGCACCGGCTCGGGAGGCCCACTTCCTTCTGAATCCCGTGGAGGTCACAGCTCACTGCTGAGTGCCCCGCTGGAGGCTGCGTGTCCACAGAGGCCCTGAGTCCTGGCCTAACTGCCCCCGGTCCACGGGCTGTCGCTCCTCTGGTCCCTCTCCGCACAGCTCAAAGGACGGGGTCCGCCTGCAGAGGGTCCGTCCCACGGCAGAGCAGCCTGGGGAGGGCAGAGAATAAAGAGCGAAGGGAAGCTTCCAACAGCAGCTCCCAGGTGACTGGTCATCTCAGAGGACCAGTGACAACAGGCAAGCATTTCCTGGAGCGAAGGCCAAAGGCACAGGTTAGGAGCGGCTGAGACAGCTGCTTGGAGTGGCCTCTTCTGATCACGTGTGCCTCCACCCTGCCTGTTCCTTGTAGCTGATTTAAGTATTTACATAAGGTTCTTTGTTCTTAATTTTAAACCAATTGGGTTTTGTTAAACCATCTTCTTAATTAACTGCCTCATATGAACTAACCTTTTTGCTTTATTAGATCTCCAGTGTTTTTGAGGGTCACTGGTATAGAAAAATTGTTTGTAGGTAGGAAGGGTTTCTAAAAGAGAAGAATCTGTCATCTCTAAATCTAGTGCAGAGTCAAAATGACAGAATCTGGAATTCCTTGCTAGTTTTCTTGTCTGATATTCTCCTTTCCCTCCGGCAGGCCAGAGCGGTGCCGGCAACAACTGGGCCAAGGGCCACTACACGGAGGGCGCGGAGCTGGTGGACTCGGTCCTGGACGTGGTCCGGAAGGAGTCAGAAAGCTGTGACTGTCTGCAGGGCTTCCAGCTGACCCACTCGCTGGGGGGCGGCACCGGGTCCGGGATGGGCACCCTCCTCATCAGCAAGATCCGCGAGGAGTACCCCGACCGCATCATGAACACCTTCAGCGTGATGCCCTCGCCCAAGGTGTCGGACACGGTGGTGGAGCCCTACAACGCCACGCTGTCCGTGCACCAGCTGGTGGAGAACACGGACGAGACCTACTCCATTGACAACGAGGCGCTGTACGACATCTGCTTCCGCACCCTGAAGCTGACCACGCCCACCTACGGGGACCTCAACCACCTGGTGTCGGCCACCATGAGCGGGGTCACCACGTGCCTGCGCTTCCCGGGCCAGCTCAACGCCGACCTGCGCAAGCTGGCCGTGAACATGGTGCCCTTCCCGCGCCTGCACTTCTTCATGCCCGGCTTCGCGCCGCTGACCAGCCGGGGCAGCCAGCAGTACCGCGCACTGACGGTGCCCGAGCTCACGCAGCAGATGTTCGACTCCAAGAACATGATGGCCGCCTGCGACCCGCGCCACGGCCGCTACCTGACCGTGGCCGCCATCTTCCGGGGCCGCATGTCCATGAAGGAGGTGGACGAGCAGATGCTCAACGTGCAGAACAAGAACAGCAGCTACTTCGTCGAGTGGATCCCCAACAACGTGAAGACGGCCGTGTGCGACATCCCGCCCCGCGGGCTCAAGATGTCGGCCACCTTCATCGGCAACAGCACGGCCATCCAGGAGCTGTTCAAGCGCATCTCGGAGCAGTTCACGGCCATGTTCCGCCGCAAGGCCTTCCTGCACTGGTACACGGGCGAGGGCATGGACGAGATGGAGTTCACCGAGGCCGAGAGCAACATGAACGACCTGGTGTCCGAGTACCAGCAGTACCAGGACGCCACGGCCGACGAGCAGGGGGAGTTTGAGGAGGAGGAGGGCGAGGACGAGGCCTGAGCCCCGTGTGCGGCTGGACGTGGCCGGAGGCCAGGAGGAGAGCGAGGGGGAGGCCTGAGAACTTCTGAAATAGGTCGTGCATCCTTAGTGAACTTCTGTTGTCCTCAGTCAAGCATGGTCCTTCTATTTGTATACTATGGTGCTCAGTCTTGCCTCTGTCAGAAATTCACACTGTTGGTGTAATAACGTGGGACTCCTCTGGAAACTGCAGTGTTGTCTAAGATATCTATACTAATAAAAAAGCATGTGTCCAAATCCCGTGGTCTCTTAATTTTTATTGCAAACAATTTTTATTCTTTCACTAAATGTTTCCTAAGTGTTTCCAGATTTAGTAATTTTAAGAAAACAGGATTTCTACTTTCATGTTTTTAATTAATAGCCTTTCCTCTCTTTTAATAAAGAGAGACCAGAAGGCATATTTTTAGCTTCACTGACCCAAAGTATTCAAGGAAAGGAGCCCAGGTGTGTGGAGGTGGATAGAGATCTGGGGACAAAGCCGACCTTCCTCCTCGGCTTGCTGTGGTTGCAGCAACCCCGTGAACGTGTGGAATCCAGGGCCCCGGGCGAGGGCTGTCTTCAGCTTAGCCACTTCTCTGTGAACAATGTGATGAATACAAAGACCAGTGCACGCTTGCACCTCTCAGATAAAAGGCACCGAGTAAATTCAACTCATCTTAGAGGAGCGGTCGTGAACGCTACAAATGCTTCACTGAACATTAACCTGAAAGTAAAGTAAATCATGATAGCAATTTATTTTTTAAGACAATGGTAGAAATTAACAACACTGAAAAATCAGGTTTAATTTTTGTAGCTATGAAAGCTAGAGGATGCTTATCATTGCTGTTGGATTAGGAGCCGTTTGTGGGGAGGCGCGGGGAGCCTGGAAAGGCAGGTGAACTGGGGGGTGACCCGCAGGTGGGTTTCCAAGGCAGCACCAGGCTCAAGCCCCAGGCTCGGGATTCACAGGTCACATGTCCTCGGGGACACTGTCACTGCAGGAAGTCTTCCGCTAACTTGTTGAATTCACCTGCAAAACGTAAATGCAGGTTGTGCTTGCCCTCTGGCATCAGATGCAACCTAAAAAAAAAGATTATGGTTAGCGGCACATCACCTAAAAACCTGTTACCCTCCCTATTGTTTCATGAAAACCTCAAGTGAGAAACTGCCCTGGTTTTTTTTCCATCACCTCTATTAGGAAGAAAGTGTAAGGTACATCTTATGAATGGTCCCAGAAGAGAGACATAACAGTGACAGAGCACACACACTGTGCTTGGAATTGAATCAGGTAAGAAATAGTTTGACTGCAAACCTGACAGAGTGGGAGATGTAATTGGTGGTTACCTAAGAAAAAAAATCTTTTTAATAACATTAGTTTTGAGAGAGAGGGTTGGAAAGATGATAAAAAGAGGAAGTGTGCAGAATCCACTGGATTGGAACCTCTTGGAATATCTATGTAGTGGGAAAACCCAAATCAGAATTCACAGCCCCCCGTAGGCCTGTTGTTCAAGGTTCCAAATCACCCCGTCATTTTGGAGGACTGAGCAGGTCTGCATACAAGCCACCAGACGAAGGGTAAGTAAACGTTCCTGAAGCTCGTGAGGGCGGCAGGAACCTGCCTTAGCCACCCGCCCTTGGTCGTGCAGCTGTCAAGACACCTCACCATCCTCGGGAGGCTTCTTCCTTTCAACAGGGCTTTGGTCAAATGTGGCTGGTCTGCAGTTTCTTTAATAAAGGCAGACTTCTGAGTTACACATTCTATTTATTGGCTATAAAAGTGCAGACAGTAAGTTTTAAACAAATTAAAGGTTCTAGGATATAAGCACAAGTCTGACTTGTTCCGTCCACAATACAGTTAGACGTTAAAAGGACTACACTGGGGCAAACTGCCAGTTACTGCATTTCCTGCTTCTCTGCGCTTTCCACGGGGTGGGGAGCTGAGAGCTCTAGGGACCTCAGTGAACATGAGGGAGGACGCATGGCAAGAGGGAGCTTGGAACAGAGCTGTCCCTGTGCGATGCTGGGCCTCCTGCAAACAACCACACGGGGACTGCGGGGGTGTGAGGGAACCCAGACTATCAAGATCACTGGCTTGAAAGGAGGATCTGTTGCTGGCATCTTTCTGAGGCCCTGGGGAAGGTTAATAACACCATTAACAATAACCAGGGCATTTCCAAGTCAACGTTAATGCTATTCAGAAAAGAAGTATGAGCTGCACCACCCCAGAGAAGGGACCAGCTGCCCTCCAGAGGGACGGGGCTCACAGGGACAGTCACGGCCTCTGTTCTCAGGAGACAGGAAAGAACCAACTGCCGAGGATGCTGGCAGTCACAGAAGGGCATGTCTGGGATACCCTGCACCTTCCAACGTGGACCAAGCTGGACTCTGAAGCAGAGACCCACCCTGCCAAACCTGCAAGTCCTCCTGTGTGGGGAGCCAACCCACTCCCATTATTTGTTCAGACGCCCAAGAAGGAAGGAGAGACAGCAGCTGCGATCCCGTCTTTTAGCCTCAGTGCTGTCTGTGTTCTCCCAGTAGTAATCTCAGTCTCGGGAAATAACAACTGGGCCCCTCGTTAAAAATAGGGGAACCCTGCTCCGAGGCATCTACATTCAGAACTGCACTGGACTGAGGATGGGCAGACAGAGGGACGGACAGACAGATGGATAAATGAGGGTATGAATAAGACAGCTCTGCTCCTTGATAGCTGTTGGGGTCATTTCGGGGTCCTCAACACAGCCTTCCCTGAGGTCTGATACAGAGGTCACTATCCCTGACATGTGCTCCTCTTGGGGCAGCACTGCCCCGGACGGGTGTAAATACGGGGCTGCCAAGGCAGCGTGGCCACTGCTGCTGACCCAGACTCTCACCCACTTAACAAAGGATCAAATCACGCGCTCCTGGAGAGTGGTGTTCAAACAATCACACTTTCCAGGAAAACGAGTAGGAAATTCCCCACTGCCAGACACACGGCTCAGCTGGAGAGGATGGACCCCTCGGGGGTAGATGCTAGATCCTATTTGCTGGGGCAGGTTCGTCACTGCATTTAGCACCTTTAGAAAAAGAAATGTGACTCTAGACCTTTTGAGGAATTCAAGTCCCTCTAGTCTCCCTCCACCTCTCCTGGACAGTCCTTGGACGACGCTCCCTACGTGCGAGTGGGCGAAGGAGAAACAGGCTGAAGGCGCTGGCTATTATGGGGGCAAGACAACCCAGTCTGACCAACGTAGGCTCTTTACCAGCAAGCGACAGCATCTCCCTGAACCGCAGCTGCTCACCTGGAAAGTGGGGACGGTAACAGTGTCCACCCCAGAGGGTTATTCTGAAGATGAAATTATCTCTGGGCGCACAGTAGACACTTAATACACGTTCGCTATTCGTCCATTATTCTATCTGTATTGTGCTTCACAATGTAAGAAAGTCGTTATGAAGGTTCCAGTTATGTACAGCGTATCAACAAAATGTTCCAAGTTGGAGACAATTTATTTACGTTTGCTGGCGACCACAATCGACCGCAATTGGAAAATTCTTACCTTAAAGAGATTTTAGACCTAAATGTAAGGCCACACACTATAAAACTCTTAGAGGAAAACGTAGGTAGGACACTCTATGGCATAAATCACAGCAAGATCCTTTTTGAACCACCTCCTAGAGAAATGAAAATAAATGGGACCTAATGAAACTTAAAAGCTTTTGCAGAGCAAAGGAAACCATAAACAAGACGAAAAGACAACTCTCAGAATGGGAGAAAATATTTGCAAACGAAGCAACTGACAAAGGATTAATCTCCAAAATATACGAGCAGCTCATACAGCTCAATATCAAAAAAACAAACCATCCAATCCAAAAATGGGCAGAAGACCTAAACAGACATTTCTCCAAAGACGAAATACGGATTGCCAACAAACACATGAAAGGATGCTCAACATCACTAATCATTAGAGAAATGCAAATCAAAACTACAATGAGGTATCACCTCACACCAGTCAGAATGGCCATCATCAAAAAATCTACAAACAATAAATGCTGGAGAGGGTGTGGAGAAAAGGGAACCCTCTTGCACTGTTGGTGGGAATGTAAATTGATACAGCCACTATGGAGAACAGTATGGAGGTTCCTTAAAAAGCTAAAAATAGAACTACCATACGACCCAGCAATCCCACTACTGGGCACAGACCCTGAGAAAACCGTAATTCAAAAAGAGTCATGTACCACAATGTTCATTGCAGCTCTATTTACAATAGCCAGGACATGGAAGCAACCTAAGTGTCCATCGACAGATGAGTGGATAAAGAAGATGTGGCACATATGTACAATGGAATATTACTCAGCCATAAAGAGAAACAAAATTGAGTTATTTGTAGTGAGGTGGATGGACCTAGAGTCTGTCATACAGAGTGAAGTCAGTCAGAAAGAGAAAAACAAATATCGTATGCTAACGCATATATATGGAATCTAAAATAAAAATGGTTCTCATGAACCTAGGGGCAGGACAGGAATAAAGATGCAAACGTAGAGAACGAACTTGAGGACACAGCAGGGGGAAAGGAAAGCTGGGACGAAGTGAGAGAGTGGCATGGACATATTTACACTATCAAATGTAAAACAGATAGCTAGTGGGAAGCAGCCGCATAGCACAGGGAGATCAGCTTGGTGCTCTGTGACCACCTAGAGGGGTGGAATAGGGAGGGTGAGAGGGAGACGCAAGAGGGAGGGGATATGGGGATATATGTATACGTATAGCTGATTCACTTTGTTATACAGCAGAAACTAACACACCATTGTAAAGCAATTATACTCCAATAAAGGTGTTAAAAAAACGATTTTAGAAAATGTCATGGGTGAGATTTGTCTAGAAAGGATGAGCCCCTCCCTTCCCCCCACTGTGAGACACCAGGACCCGGCTTTGTAAGGATGAGGCTGGTCCTGTTTGGAGTTAATCCTGGAACCTGGCCCTAAAGCGGTTCTTGAGCTGCCTGCAGTCAGAGAGGAGGAACTAGAAACAGCAGCTGAGGAGGGGGTGGGAAGGGTCATCCGGGCAGCTGAGGGGGGTGCGTCCCCCTTCCTTCGGTGTCTGCCGGACCCCCTCTCCACGGAACCGGAACGAACCTGCTGCCAGCACAAGACCGTTTTACTTCGCGCCCGCAGGGGCACGCCACCCCCCTGCTCACCTTGGAGGTCTGGGGCCATCTTCCCACCGCTGGCCAGACTGGACAAGGCCAGGAAGCTGCAGAGCGAGGCCCCTCCTTCCTCCTGTGATCAGACAGAGGCCAGCACCTGACCCACGACCTGGGGAACCCAGGCACCCTTAGCGCTCCCACCGCCAGGCCAAGACCTCTGAGGACAGCTCCTGCCAGCTGCCCTCCGCCAGGGCTGGGTTTACGTGTCAACCTGGCTGAGCCACAGGTGCCTTTGGTCAGACATGATTCTGGGTGTGTGTGTGAGGGTGTTTCAGGATGAGAGTCCATCTGAATCAGCAGACTGAGCACAGCAGACTGCCCTCCCCACGTGGGTGGGCCTCATCCAATCAGTTGACGGCCCGAATAGCACAAACGGCTGGCCCTCTCCTGAGCAAGAGGAACTCCTCCTGCCTGTCTTCAAACTGGGGCACTGGCTTTTTCCTGCCTTCAGACTCGCACTGCAACATCAGCTCTTTCTGGTTCTCTGGTCTTCAGAGTCAGACTGAACCACAGCATGAGCTCTCCTGGGCCTCCAGCTGCTGACTGCAGATCTTGGACTTCTCAGCCTCTGTAGCTGCACAAGCCAATGCCTTACTCCCATAGTAAATCAATCCTCTCTCACTATAGATATATTACATGTCCACACATGTATACGATATATAAATACGTGTGTGTGCACACGTACAGCTGACTGAGGGCAATGTGCCTGACTGCCCATCGAGCTCTACCCTGCTGTCTCCTGGGCCCCAGACCACCTACACCCACACCAGCATTCCATCCATGAAGGCAGCTACCGTGTGCCGAATTCTTATTCGTCTGAACGTGCACATACATCCCCATTCATTCCTCAGAAAGTTATCTGAGATGACAGGCATCACCATCCCCATGTGACACACAGGAAACAGAGGTACAGAAACACGTCCACCTCCTTACGGGCACGATTCATCACCAGCACCGCCCCCCCCCGGGTCCGTCTGAGCCACTGCTGTGCTGTAGCCACCGCGGCTGCAAATGCTGCTCAGGGCCCCCAAACCCTGACTCTGGTCTCCAGGCGCGACTCCGTTTCCCACCCCTCCCCTCTGGCCCACACAGAGCCCAAGGCCCCACCTCTCTGCACACGTGGACTCCAGCCCTCGTCCTTCCTTCCGGGTCCGTTCTCTGGCCCCAGAACCTGCAGGTGGACTCCACAACACACTTTCCGGGCCTGAGTCACCACTCAGGGACCCCTGCCACCCACAGATGTGGCCGTGCAATGCTCGCATTCTTCCTTTCACCGTGTACCAAGTGCTTTGAGGCCGAACTAGACCGCGTCCGGGACAGAGGATGGCCTGCTCGCTGCTGCTAGTAAGGTGCCAGTAAGGGGCCGCGTGGCCTCAGAACGGTGAGTAAGTGGAGGAGCAGAAAGAGACAGCCAAGCTGTGCCCGGAGGCTGGGTGGCCCTGGCCAGGCAGGGAAGGGGCAAGGGGCGCGGGACTCCAGGCAGGGAAGGGGCAAGGGGCTGGTCACGCGTAGCCGGGTCTGAACCCAGATCCTGATCTCTGCTGGGCCCCCAATTTCTGAGATCTGAGAACCTCCTCAGAAACGTACTGTTGTGGGCTGAGCCGCGCCTCCCAATTCGCATGTTGAAGTCCTAACCCCAGTACCTCAGTGTGACTGTGCTTGGATATCAGGTCTTTAAAGAGGTATTATGTTAAAGTGAGGTCACACAGGTGGGCCCTAATCTAATCTGATGGGTGTCCTTATGAGAAGAGATCAGGACACAGATGCCCACACAGAGCGACGACCGTGTGAGGACACAGGGAGAACGTGGCACCTGCACACCAAGGAGAAAGGCCTCAGGACAGACCAACCCCTTGCCACCCTGATCTTGGACGTCCAGCCTCTAGACTGTGAGGGCCTCAATGTCCGTAGTTTCAGCCGCCCAGCGTGCGGTCTTTGTCACAGCAGCCAGAGCTGATGACCACGCACGGCGAGCACCCCGTGTCTCCACTGCAGCGCGGTGGTCACACCCTCCGTGAAGCCCCACCCTCTCCTGAGCCAGATCAGCCCTTCTGCTTCCAGGGGCCCGTCCACGCCAGCCCCGAAGGGTCCGAAGGGCGCAGGCTCTGCTCGGCGCCAACTGTGACAGCAAGCTGGGTGGCCCCGAGGACCAGGCATGCTCGGCAACTGGAGGCGCTCAAGCAGAGGCTGGCTAGACAGGCAGGCGGCGGTGTCAGTGCTGTGCGATCTAGGAGGGAGGGCTGGCCGAGCGGGGGAAAATCACAGCGACCACTATCTTATGCTTTGTATCTGGGACTGCAGAAGAGTTTGTTAGGAGGAAGGGCTCAACTGCCTAAAAACAAAATCTAAAATCACTGAACTTGAGTGATCTCTGAGGTCTCTGTCTCCAGGAGATGCTGTGGTTCTTCTCCAGCAAAAAGAAGAGAGAGAGACAATTGTCACAGGCAGGAAGTGGGCCTGCTGAGCACCCACCCTGCGCTCGGCCCCCTTCCAGGAGAGAAAGGCATTCGTTTCACACCTGATTATCTATTTGTAGTACAATCTTTGAGCGACACACTTGTGCCTTTAATTCTTTAATCATAAATGTACCTGGCAGGGAAATGAAACCCCAAGTTCGTCGGAAGCACCTGCACTCGGAGTTGCCCCCCTGGGGTGAGAGGCCTGTGCACAGTCGGAGGGCGACCTTGGTGCTCAAGGAATCGACCCTCTTTTTGTGGGTCCAGAATTAACCACCGTGTTTTAGGTTCACGCCCAACATAAAGGGCTCTTCTGGCAGAGGAAGGGAGCAAGTGTAACACTTTACTCTCAACTCATTTTTTCCAAAGAATCCTGCTCTAAGAAAATGACCTTCCATAAGAGAGTGTACTAAAACCATTAACATCTGAATGGCAAGGGAATATTCTTCTCCCATATTGATGTATCCTGTTGCTAGGAGATGGGTCTGGAGCAGAATTCCTTAATTAAACTTTCCTGCAGACTTTTACTGAATCTGGCTCTCTAAGGGACACACTGCATTTATCATGAGACTCACTGTGCAAAAACCTGTCATTTCTGAAGTTAGAAGACAATTAACCAGGTCAGCAAGCATATAACACAGGCATCTTACCATCATATTAAAATAAGAGTATGTTTATGAGAGGCAGCTGTGCTGTGGGGGAACGCACTGTATTAGGAGGAAAAAACCCCAGGATTTGTCGTTTACTAGCCATGCAACCTTGGAAGATTACTTAACACGTCTCAGCCTTGATTTTCTCATCTGTAAATTGGGACAAAATCTTTTCCCATAAGGTTGTTGTGAAGTATGTAATCATATGTGAAATGCCTTTTAAATATAAAATGCTCTTTGGACACAGGAATTAGACAGGAATTGTAGGAATGCTGTTTTACTGCAGAATAAGAAGCGTGTCTCCCACATTTAAAAATTCTCTGAGACATTTGTTAAAATCGATCACGGAATAACTAGTATGATTAGGAGGTAGAGGAGCTGTTTCTACTCTCCCTGCTGGACCGTGGGGACTCTCAGCTCAGGGACCACTGCTGACCTACCAGGCAGGGCTGGCCTGCAGGGCATCGGAATCGGCTCATGGAGAGTCAGGGCGGGGGCGGGGGGGCGGGAGGGTGTTCTTAGGTCACTAACAACGCCAATTTCCAAAGAATTCTGTACAATTCCAAAGACGTCCTGACTAATGACAGCAGCTCTGGAATTCATATACAGTCTCTGAAGGGATCAAGGCTCACTTGGGTGTTTATTTTCCAGTAGGTTTGCTTAAAAAAAACAAAGCCAGGCCACCAGCTCCTGGTCACATCCCATTTTCTCCTTCAGGATGTGCATCACTGCATATCAAGGAAATTCTGAGCTTGCTCAACGTGGAATTTTCATCTTGATATAAGCACCAGCAGAAGCTGGCTCCCGTGTCAGCCAAAGTATTTAAATTATAAATTTCTGTTCCATATAAAAACAAATGGGATTGAAGAACAGAATTTCTGCTGACATGTCTTATTAGGTTCTCTGGCGTCCCCAGGCTGGCTGGCAGAAACGGGGCTACACAGACAAGGAATGTGTCTCTGCCATTTAATCGAATGGGCCACCAGCACAGCTGGCTTGGCAGACGCTGCTGTTTTGTGATTCTGAATAACAGGTTCTCCTCTGATGTGTACATATTTAAGGCTGAAATAACACGAAAAGTTTACAACATAATTTTAAGTGGGAAAAAAGCAGGAATCAGAGTTGAATATGACTGTATCTATGTTAAAAGAACTAGAAAGGAGTAGTGCACAAAACTGCTATTAATGGAGGTATTTAAATGGATGGTAAGCAACGGCGATTGCTTTCTTCTTTTGATTTTACAAACCTTCTTTACTGGGTGAGTAGTGCTTTTATAACGAAAGTTCCCAAATGATAGGTGACTGTTTAGGCTGATGTGCTGCAGCCCTCAGAGCTCCTGCCCTCGGATTCCAGGGCTCCTTGGTCCCCTGTTCCCTAAATACAGCAGGACTGTTGGTTCACACGGGACAAAAATCCCTCCTCTCGGGCGGGATGCACCTGAAAAACCCAACCCTCATGCTTCTTCTCTTCCTAGAGCTTCTCCCGGTTACCTCCCAAGCCCCCAGGGCAGAGTGCTGGCTCACGCTGGACTCACCGTGACCCCTTCACGTGTTTGTGTATGAAGTCGGCATGGAAGCTCGGGACCAGAGGGTCCTTCTCACCGTGCACGATTAGGGTGGGGCACTGAACCAGGGGCAGCAGGTGCCGACAGATGTTACCTGAAAGACACGGAGACTCTGTTTTCCCGTGACCCTCCTAGGGGTGGGGAGGCGCAGAGCGCGGACAAACCTCCCCCACCCCCACCCCCCGCCCTTAGCATCTGTCTCTACGAGACTGGCCTGGATCAGTCGGGGTCTGAGTGCCTTCCAGCTCGGACATTCTTTGGGTTTCCTTTTCTGTTTCTCTCCTGGCTTTTTTCTTTTAAGCTCTACCAGTGAACAAGCACTCTTGCCTGATTTAAATTCATAATTCATGAAAACAGTAGTTAAAACAAACAAAAACCCTACAAGTCTCTATATTACGTGGGGCCGTTCGCTGTCCGCCAAACGATGGTAGGCGCTTGCTACCTGAAAAGCTCCTCCCGTGAAATAGTGTCTTCAGTGGGGCCCTCTGGCCCTCAAGCCTGTGTCCCTCACAGTGAAGATACAACTGCAGCTGTGCAGAAGCTGCTGTCCATCCGTCCCGCCCCAACACCCCTGACAGAGGCTCTCACCCTGATATGTGGCAGCATTTCTAAGGCTCACATGGCACAAGTCAGGTTCCACTTCCTGTCCTGCCATTTCCTGCTGGGGAAATCTTGGGGGTGCCCTAACTCCATGAGTTTTTTGGCCTCTCTCGGTTGGTCAGGGACAATCATACATCCCCAGGGTGGCTGTACCGCTAAGAGGCGGTGCCCTGCTCCCAGCAGGCACCCCAGAGCTAGCCCTGTCCTCCCCAGCTGCCCTGAGAAAGCCGGGGTCCCTGGGTGCTGTCCAGGCAGTGGCTCCTCCCTCCTCTTGGGTGGGGGTCACTGCCTGCTGGCCCTGGGGGGGCCGCACCCACCACTGAGCAGCCCCGTGGTGATTAACGCCAGTGTTCCCGAGCCCACCCCGCGTGTCAGGAGCCGTCCCAGTGACTCGGCACCCGTGAGCCACAGGAGGTCCAGGCTTTAACTCGTACAGTAGCACAACTGCTCGTAACTCAAGTACTTTTACAGTAGTAGCGGTTAACCTTTTCCTGAGCACTCACCCTGGAGCTGGTACTGTACCAAAGCCGCGCGTATGGAACCTCACGTGTGAGTATACACATGAAGCCTCACATGTACAACCTCACGTGGAATATATATATAAAACCTCACGTATGTAACCTCACATAGTATACAAAACCTCACCTACCTTATATACACGTGTGTATGTATAAAAACACCTCACCTCACGTATATCATCCTCACAGCAGCTTCCTGGGGTAGTTCCCAGTATCTCCAGTTCACAGACCCGGAACTGCTGCTCAGAGAGGCTAAGCGACCTGCCTGAACCCACTCAAACGGCAGCCACGTGGCAAAGCCAGACTCCACCCCCGGGCCTGACTCCAGATCTGGCGCTCAATCCCGAAACTGAACTGAGCAGCCATAGCCTCGCGTACAAGACAAGGGCTCCTGTCAGAGGAATCAGTACTGAGGGGAGATAAGTTTGTTAACAGCCTTGCCGTAGACGATTCATACATTTCCAGATTCTCTGTGTCATGACACTTTCTCCCTCACTTTCCCTCTTTAATACACTGCATTTTTTAGAGTTTCAGGGTTACAGCAGGACTGAGTGGGAGGCAGAGAGCTCCCACGTACCCCTAACCCCACACACGCACAACCTCCTCCATCGTCGATACCCCGTCAGACACTTCTTACAACAGATGAACCTGCACGGACGCCCCATCACCTCCCTGAGTCCGGGGTATTCCCCGGGCACACAGTCTTGGTGGACACATTTGGTGGGTCTGAACAAATGCATAATGACGTGGATGCAATGATGATATTATACAGAGCGTTTTCACTGTCCTAAAATTCCTCTGTGTGGCTACTCTAAGATGTGTACAGTGGGATCTCGTTGTTGTCTGGCCCATCTTTTATTCGGGTTGTTTTCTTATTGTTCAGTTTTAAGAGTTTTTTGTATATTTGGATACAAGTCCTTTAGCAAATATTTTCTCCCAGTCTGTAGTTGTCTTTTCATTCTCCTGAAATACATTTCAAGGACCTGTTTCTATGGGTGGATACTGCATTTGAACAGGATATACTTGCTATTTTGAACTTAAACCAAAAAAGTAACATTTCCAAATGTCCTTCTCATTATGAAAGTTTTGACAGATGACTCATTCTGGAAATGATTACTGAATAGACCAAACTGGTACCTGAATCACAACAATTTTGTAACTGAATGTGCTTCAAGATTAGATCTTACCTAGTCTCGATTCTTTTAGCAATTAGAAAAGTGAGAGACTACAAATGTAAATAGCTATAAAAAATAGACTTTAATTCAGAATTTCTCTTCAGGATGTCAATTCTTCCTGTTATTGGAAACCATGTTAATTTTTCAGATAAAGACAGGAAGACATCTGTCACAGCTAAAGTGACACAACTTAGCTCGGAACTTGGGAAAGGACTGAATACTTTCTTCCTCATACTAATTCTTCTGGGGCTGAAGGTCATGACAGAGAATCCCTCCTTTTCTGTCCTAGTAACAGAAGATGTAGTGGGGTGCACCTCTAAATGTGAAAAAGAGAAAATCTGGTGTCTGTTTTCTAATTACCCATCCTGGAATTAGAAAGTGAAGAGTATCTGAGGCTTCTGGAGAATGATTTTGCCATCATACACACAAAGGATTCGGAGGAAAAAGAACAGTCTGCTATGAGAGACTCAACAATGTGACCCTTTGTGCGCATGGTCTGTCTCTGGTGCAAGGCGGGTCTATCACACAAGAACTCGCATTGTACACGATCACCAGCACCCTCTGTTCACACATCACTGTGGAAGGACAGTGGGCGAGCGCGTTAATCCCCGAGGAATCCTCGAGCATCTGGGGGACTCAAGCAGCCTCTCTAATGAGCAAAGGGACCGTTGAATAGCTCACGTAACCTACCATCTGGAAGATGCTTAAACTGCTTTATGCCATCCACCCACTTTTCACAGGTTCTGGCCAAGTAGTCGAACCCATAGAGGGCTTCCAGAGGCTTTCTTGTTCTCTCACTCCATTTAGACACGTCTCGGATACCTGAAAGACATATGTGTGGGCAAGAATGGGTTTAGTCTCAGACTAGAGTTCATCTGTAAATACTCCAAGCGCAGTGCACTCAGAGCTGTGGCCCTGGCTGTCCTGCCAGCTGGCAGTGTTCCCCCAGTCTCCACGTGGCTCACGCTGGCTTCGCCCAGGTCGGCCAGGCCTTCCCCGACCCTGCCCTCCATCACTCTGCTCAGGGCTGGTCACTTTCAGTGGCTTCTGTGTCCGTGGTGAGGGCCAAGTGCTGGGTCCCCACCAAGATGTGAGCTCTGTGTGTGGGGTTTTGCTTTGTTTTGTCCCCCACTGTGGCCCTCAGGCACAAAAGAGGGACCAGTAGATTCTTACCAAGTGAATGAAATTGATCTAAAATTAATGCTTTCTGTTAAAGGTATAAGATAAAAGCAGACATTCCCCTAATTAGGGTCATCTAAGTGAAAATGACATTATTTATAACAGGAGTTTTTTCTGAACTGCATTTATGTACGTTGAGAAATGCACACACATCATTCATTCTAATTTCTGCCACTGCAGGCACATGGGTGTAACTACTAACTACAAACTATATTACAGATGACTCTCTGTTAAGAAAGGAAATAACGGCTAAAAGCCACCTTTAAAGTGAACTGCCGTCTGAGGCAGGCTGACCCTGATAGAGACAGTGCCTGCCTTTCACTTGCTCACTCTTCTGAACCCGCAGACGGACGCCCAGGGTTGAGTCCAGAGGCTAAGGACGCTGAACTGCTCTGCACAAAACTGAGAAGACTCCAGATGGGGTCAAGGGCGGGGTTGGTGGGGAGATGCAGAGAAGAAGCCAGAAAATGAAGAGGTGGCAGGAGACCTGGGAAGAAGGAAGAGGAGAGAGGGGCTGGCACGACGGCATGAAGACGGCCCGTGAGAAATGCCCCAGAGATGGCTCTGCCCTTGGCTGTGTAGCAGACCACATCCTCGGGAAGGCCCTCTTGCAGTGGAACAACTAGCTCTTTCATAATATATAATTTTTGTTGCACTGCTGGAGTTTGCAGTAATTGATGGAAACTAGAGTGTGTATGTGTGTGTGTGTGTATGCGTGTGTGTGTGTGTGTGTCTGTGTGTAAGAGAATCCTGAAAACAGAGCAAAGAGTGGTAAGACCACTCAAAGGCAGGGTTGCTTCAGGGGAAGGTGACTGTTGGCTGGCGGAGGGAGGACACAGCTGAACCTGAGATGGAAATGGTCCCAACCTGGTACCATCCATAGTTCCCAAGAGGAGTAAATGGACATCCTCTCTGAAGGAAAGTGTTCTCAACTTATGCTCACTGTCTTTTTTGTTTGTTTTCAGATTAAGAGTAAGCAAATATCCACTCCTCATCAAAGATCACAAGGCGGGCTTCCCTGGTGGCGCAGTGGTTGAGAGTCCGCCTGCCGATGCAGGGGACGCGGGTTCGTGACCCGGTCCGGGAAGATTCCACATGCCGCGGAGTGGTTGGGCCCGTGAGCCATGGCCGCTGAGCCTGCGCGTCCGCAACAGGAGAGGCCACAGCAGTGAGAGGCCCGTGTACCGCAAAAAAAAAAAAAAAAAAAAAAAAAAAAAAAAAAAAAAAAAAAAGACCACAAGGCAATCAGAATCTTTGTAAAGATAACGAAACAACTAGAAAATTGGAAGAGAAAGCTTAAGAAATTATGCAGAGCCCTACACACAGAGACACAGAGATGAATAGAAACGGGGAGATGGAAATGCTCGGTCTACAAAGTTCAATCAGTCCCCAAAGGAGGAGAGGGAGGAGGGACAAGAGGGGGAAGGTGGGGGGGGGGGAAGGGGACTCACTGTCAGAGGGAATCAGCAGGTGACAGTGTGTCTCAGAACTGATAAAAGAATCCAGACAAAAGTTAAATGTAGCCCAAATAGGATAAACAAAAAAGAAATCCAACACGGGGTAGTAAAACAGAAGTGTACCAAAGAAAAAGAGAAAATCTGAAAAAGGGCCAGAGATCAGACATATCACTCCAAAGGAAGGACAGTCAGACCCACACAGCAGGTACGGAAGGCAGAAGACGCCAGAACAGCAGAGAAGATGCGCTTCCACTTCTATTTCTGTACTTATAGCCAAACCGTGTTTCAAGAGTGCGCGTGAAATAAACATTTTTAAGTAAGAGCTGAGTTGACTATTACCGGACCTGCCCTTAAAGAACTTCTGAAGAACAATTTCAGGGAGAAGAAAGAGGGCCTTAGAAGGGACATGTGAGGGGGAAGGAAGAAAGGTGAGCAAAGAGCTGACAGACGCGTCAGCAAACGTAAGAGCAGCTCAACGTTACAGGTCATTTATGCCTCAACTAAAAACTCACCAAGGCAATGAGAAAATAAAACATTGTACCATTTCCTCACATGAAAATTAAATAGTTCTGTCCAGAAAGAAAGCAAAAAGACAAGTCACACACTGGTAGCACAACTACTAACACAATGACTAACCAGCAAGGAGTTAGTAATCAGGTTACTAAAAACCAAAAAACAAAGTAACACTGCACATCAATAACATTGTGCTCATATCAGAAGTGCTCTATGCTTGAGTTGGGTGGGGTCTCCTGGGTGCTGGTTCTGTTGTTACACTTCCTAACATACACCTGTGAAACATACTGTGTTATTTACATGTATCATATATTACACGTAAAAATTTAAAAACCAGTAAAAAGACACAAATAGGTAAAATGCAAAAGAAGAAACCCCAGTGGTGCATAAACACATGAAAAGATTCTCAATTTCATTAGTAACAGGAAAATGCAAATTAAGACCTCCAATAAAATACCATCTTACACCCATTTGGCCAGAATTAAGAGCTCTGATAGTCCCAAGTTCCTGTTGAGGATCTAAGCTAAGGTGGTGGAAGTGTAAGCTTCTTTTGCTGGAAAATGATCTGCCACCTGAAAGGGCACATCTGCAAGCACGGCGCAGCCGCCCCAGCACGGGCATCCTCCCCAGGGAGGTCTGCTCACACGCCGAGCACGCACACAAGGATGCTCACAGCAACACTAGGAGGAAAGAGAGGGAGGATAAAGTGCAACAGGTGTGCCCAACAGAACGCCACACAGCAACGTCACGAACGAACCTCAGAAACGGCGTTCTAAGAAAACTATGTGTAAAAAGTGAGTCACAGAAAATGCCATATAGTATGAAGGCACCCTGTTTAGCTCAAAAACAAATAAAACTAAATTATGTGTCGTTTAGGGATATGAATGTATGTGACGATAGTGTCTTCAAGACGGCACATGGATGGACAACTCAGGCTGGAAGCAGCGCGCGGGCCAGCAGTGACTGACCTTGTGCTCCTTGGTGGGTCCATTCACGTCGCAGGTGTTGCCTTATATGGGTCAAATATTATACAGTTAAACTAAACTTCAGCTATGAAATAATCAAAATAAAAATATTATCTATTATATGTTCGACATTTAATTTATAGAGATGCTATACATGTATGCGTTATTTATATAAAATTAAGCATATAAAATATTTGTTTTATAAATATACATTGTTTTATAGTATATATCCTATTATATAAGATATATGCTAAAATACATATTTTAAAGTGTATTACCTTATAACACATTTAAGAAGGAGCGGAAGTAAACGACGGGATGTCCGCCTCAGTGAGGAGGCCTTCCCGAGGAGGGTTTTGTTTCTTAGTTCTGTTAAGAAAACACGCTGACAAATTGGGGCAATGGAGCCTCAGGAGCAGTGGCGACGCAGGAGGGAAGCCACGGCGGGGCCGGGCGTCATCACCCACACACCTGCTGTCGCCTCCTGAAGAGAAACAGAGGGGCCGAAGGCTGGAGCCAGGAAAGTGGGGGAAGCCTCAGTCAGTTGCACTTTCGCCCCAGGGGCCCCCAGACCTCAGTGCGCCCTCCTCTCGTCCCGCGAGCCCAGTGCTCTCAATCTGGGCAGCTTGCTGGGGGCGCCACGACTCCTGAGTTGCCACAGCTGGAACGCCTGGTGGGCGAGGAGGCCCCCAGCACAGGCCTGGGTAGCAAGCCCAGGCTGGAGGCAAGCACCCCTCTGGGTCTCCAGCAGTCACAGCGCTGGTCCCCTCTACCAGAGCCTCAGCTTGACACCAACAGGCAGTGGGCCAGGTCTGCCCACGGGCTGTACTCTGCCAGCCCCTGTTCCCCGTCTCTAAAAATCCTCAGAGATAAGCTTGAAGGACAACCTTAAAAAGTGTGACTAGCACAACGATTCTTTATCAAAGTATGCGGGTTCACGTTTGAATACAATGTTCCCTTCCACACTCACTACTTGAAATGAGCCTGTAAATAACACTTCATGTCAACCCCCTCCTTCCTTGAGGGTCACTATCACAGCAGGAAATGTAAATACGAACTTTACTTATTAGCCTTTTCCTGACTCATATAAAGTGTCACTTCTGGAAATAGGAAACTTGAAAATACAGACTAGTTAAATTGCATTACTCTCCTGAGAACTCACCACCTTCCCACATTACAGCCGAGGAAACGGATGAGACATGACTTGTCAACTCACATCAAAACAAGGCCTGAGAAAGGTCGGGGGAGGGGAGGCTGCTCTCCAGGTGGAGGGACTTACCCCGATAAATCTCCTCGTCCTGGTCGGTCACGTAGGCGTTGGCCCCCCAGATCACCATCTTGTTGATGTAGGACGGGTATCTTGCAGCTGCAATGAGGGCTGTTATCCCACCATCACTCCACCCCAGCAAAGAGACCTTCTTAAACTTCAGCATCTGTGACAAATACCACGAAATGCACAGGTCATGGCTCCTCGCCGCGGAGAGAGCTTGATCAACCTCAAGTATCAGAATCGACACAGCTGTGGTGTGTGGAGTGTCAACTGGCCATTAAAGAAAAATCCTAGAGTCCACCATTTGACGACATAAATGCTTCTCTCAATTAGTTGTGGTGCAAATATGATGGTCATAAAAACTAAGTACATAGTACTGTTTTGAATGATGAGGGGACCACATCTTCTGGTTGGATAAAGTCTCAAGGAACCAGAAACAGTGGAGATCAGCTGTACTTGGACGTGACAACGTGTGTGCGTCCGTGCAGGTCTGAGCGAAGACTTTGAGGACAGGTATGCAGATCAGAGAGGGAAACGGGAGAGTCGCTGCATCTCGTAAAGCCACTGACTGCAACTATGGGAAGAACTGGCTACAGAAAGGCCGGGAAAGAATGATGGTGGTTACACTGATCTTCGGGTGATCAGCCAGGCTCCAAGAATGTGTTTGACAGGGAAGATGAGCATCTCAGAGATGCTGGCGAGAAGTAAACACTGAATGACTGGGGAAATTTAAAGAAGTAACGAATATCAGTCCAAGACACCTGCTGATGGGACTCTAAATTGGTGTGACTACTATGGATAATACTTTGGCACTATCTTGTAGAATGAATATCTGCATCTCCCGTCACTCAGCAAGTCATCTCCTAAATGTGCACGGAGCTCTCACACACATGTACCAGGACAGGTCCAGGAAGTCCACACCAGCACTGTCTGCAATAGCAAAACATGAGCGCCACAACTTCCATGCACAACACAATGTTCACCGCACTTCCGTGTATAATTGCATGCACGCACACACGCACACGCACACACACACACACACAAGGCAACTTAGAGATGATTTAGCTACCATCAGGAGAGGGGGGTTAAGACACAGTGTATCCATACAACAGAATACTAAGTGCCTATTATAAAACTGAAGTAAATTTGTATTTATTGGCATGGAAGTAACTCCTTGATCAACTGTTCAATGAACAGTAAGCTGGAAAATCATTAGGTATAGTAGGATGCCATCAATACAGAACTGTGTGCTTATACATGTAATAAGATTGCCCAGAAAGGTAGAGCCTCAAAGTCTTGGTAGCAGTACCTCTAAATAGTTAGATTGTTTGATATATCTGTTTTCCTCTTTATACCCATTTGAACCCTGAATTCTCTATAGGAGTAACGTGGTATTACCCTTGAAGAAACAACAAACAAAAACAAAATAAATGAAGACAGGCCCAGCCACCCTCCTCCTCTGGGCTCTTGCCTAAGAGACCCACCTTCATCAAATCAACAGCATCTTTTGCATCCCTTTCAAAAAATTCTACTGGGAAATCTCGATCTGGGGGTCTGGAATGTCCGTACCCTCGGGGATCCCAGGCAACCACCGTGAAGAGCTTCTTATTCAGGTTCTCAATCTGAGGTCCAAAATCAGTCTCTCCACTTCCTAAAAGCAGTCACTTGGTTACACTCCAGTAAATGCTTTCATTGTTTCAAGCACACTACATCAGAAGCAGAAACAACTACAAACTGAAAGTAACTATAGTTTCTACTCAAAGTTAGACCTCAGCTGTAACCAGCAAAGCAGCTTCCTTTCCTGCTGGAGTTCAGACCTACCCCCCACCTCCCCCTAGTGGCTACTATGAGAAGGACAGAGGTCCTGATTTTTCATTTGGTCCTGTATCATTTCAGCACGTTTGATCTGTCTTCAGCTTATTCGTGCTTTTTATTAAAAAAAAAAAAAAATCATGAAACTGCATAGAAATAAACTTACTGATACAACATGCTTCTGGGTTATTTTTTCTTTCTTTTTTTAAAAAATGACTGTTACAAATGAGAGAGATCTTAATAATATGTGTAGACACATTAATGAGGTTTGATCCTAGTCATTCAAAGCAGAATTCTAAAATCCCAGATGTCTTTTACTAAGCTAATGTGAATAGCCCTGAAGGTTTTATTTTATGGTTATAACTAGAAACCAGAAAATTAAACTAAAACACTGAAATGAGGGGGGAGGGAAGGGTGCGGAGGGAAGAAATCAAGTTAGTTTGTTTCATGACAACTGTATGAACCAGCGTATGTTAGCAAGTAGAGCCACGTTCTCAGGCCGGCGGCGGACCTGACCGGCAGCCCCCAGCCTGCCCACACGGTCACGGCCACCGTGTGCACAGGCAGGCGTGTCTTGTGTGGTCCACACAGTGTGGAAGGCCAGACTCCCAAGGAGCCCAGTCCAAGGGCAAGTCAGCATCTCATTTCTAAGCTCTGCTTGATTTCTGGGGACTCACAGCTCAGGTCACAAATGGATACTAAACATCTCGCTTAATAAACGGGCAATTATTAGAAAATGTCTTTCAATGCTGCAGGATCATTTAATGTCATCAAGGATGATGATGTCACTCTTCCTGACAAGATATACCTTCCTCAGCATCAGGTAAATCACCCAGAAAACCCAAGCTGAAAACGTAACTGGATTTCCAGCACACGTCTACTGCTCTGACATCTCAAGCTTCTCTCATGATCACTGAACTGGAGGGTCTTCCAGGGAACTGTGCTGAAAGAGGGGCAGGAGGTGAGAAGGTGGGAAAAGGCAACAGTGTAACTAAAGACCAATTGCAGAAACAATAATACCTGGCACACAGGTATACATTTGAAGACCAGTGCAAAGACCATTTGAATACTAAAACCTTAATGAAATGACTTTAAGGAATAGTTACCGATATATGATACCTGAGACAGAAACACATCAACACTGGTTGCCCGTGGGTAGGGGAACTGCATGCTGGGGGACAGTAGTTTAGGGGAGAAACTTGCTGTTCGATTTTTGAATCAGGTTAATGTTTTACACAAGCAAAAACTAAATTGCCAAAAGCTTTTTATACCTGGATAATGACAGCAATACTGAAACAATGGCAAACTGTTCATTGCTTTAGCTCTACGTCAGCCATTGGAGTAAATATGGTCCTCCATTACAACAGCTCAAGGGAAAAAGATACTAAATATTATCTGGACAGAGACGCCTCAATAGCTACAACAGTGCCACTATCAGCTGAGGCTACATCGAGCTGAACCATCATGTGACTGAAAAATTTTAGCATTTTACTTTTAAGAGAAGGAAGCAAATCATAAGGAAATAAGTATATACTGGGATTACTTAACTAAATTAAAAATAAAACAATACTAAAACCCTTAAAACCAAATTTGAGATGCCCTGGGATCACTGGAAATTCTCCCCCACCCCGAACTTTCTACATCTAAACTACTCATCTATAAGAGGAGATCGCAACCCACCTGGCTTTACCACGCTCCGTTCACGCCAAACTAATTCCGACCTTCAAAAAGTCTTTAAGCCCAGTTTTGTTCTTAGCTCTGATCTTAGCTGAACATATAGTCAAGTACAACAGGGCAATCAGTCCAACTTTGAGCAGCAGAAGTCTCACATCCTGGAACCCCTCAATTCCAGGCAAACTGGGCTGCTGGTCACCCACTCATCTCCTTCCTTCACCCATCCCTTCTTCCCACAATGCTTTCCTTGACCCGTCATCCCCCTAAGTTGTAAGCAACTACACAGTGTTGGACTTGCATGGGAGAAAACTGGGTATTTAAAGGAATAAAAACTGCATAAAGTAGAAAGGTATCTTTCTACATCACCTAAAACTGACTGTAGCAAGTATTACTTAAAGCATCTCAGCAAAGCACTAAAGTTAATCATCAAGCCTGGGCATCCGGGATTGTGAACGCAGCACAGATGACACAGCATGCAGAGCATTCGGTAAAAACCTCCAGACCCAACATTCCTGGGAGCAGCAGGACCGCGTGCTCTCCACCTCCAGTCCGCAGGTAGTGCAGGTGGACGCCGTTCACAGCCACTTTGGCGGAGGTCACAGAGGAGCTGGAAGAGAAAAGCCCCATCCCCAGAGGAAAACTACTGAGCAGCACAAATGTGAGGACAGAGCCAGGCTTTTATACGCGAATCGCCTGCAGCGCCCTCCCCAGGTCCCTCGGATTATCCTGATACATGCTTCAGTCTTCCAGACCTAAAAAGGGACCCGTGTGTCTCCTCCCCACCACACTGCAGATCTGGGCTGCGTCTCCATGTTTGAACATCCTACAGCACCAGCTCAGGGCTTATCCCACAGAGGCACCGAGAGGCCTGCTGAAGTCAATGGCCACACAGGCCACCCTACAGGCCCACGCTGGGGTGCCAAGGTGCAGGCTGATGTGGGAGCCCCCGCTGTGGAATGCCAGGTGGGCACCAGCACAGACCCTGGAGCCACTCGTCTAGGCCTCAGCAGGTCCAGAGGAGGCAGCCGGACCTTAAGCTGCATTGGTGGCGTTCCCAAGGATGAGGCTGGTCTCAGGGTCCAGGGGGAAGGCCCTGATCCCGAGGCTGTCCTGTAGGCATCTGGCCTCTCCATTCTCCAGCCAGCCACATGAGGGCCCCCTGGTCAGGAATGCCCGTCTGCACCAATGTGGCCAGACTGGTTTTAAGATGTTGAAATGTTTCTGCGTTGACTGTTAGATAGGCAGGTCCATATCAAAGCCCTCCCCACGCCAGCCCTCCCTGGCCCAAGACCTCCCACGCTGCAGCATCTAACCGTGTGCCACCCCAGGGGCTCTGCCCTGGGCAGCGTCCTCAACTGCTCTTGCGGAAGCTCCAGGATGGCAACGTGAGGGTGCACACCAACACGGCACATACAGGGCCCTGCATCAGGCCCTAGGAGCCTCCCATCAACTCCCCAGATGGCTGCGGGACACGCAGAAGGGACGGAAAGGCGTGCCAGGACAGATGCTGGAACAAATGTGCCAGATACAGGCACATCGAGTCTTAACACACAACTTCTGGAAAAATATGACAGACCTGAGTGGTAGTAAGGCCTGACATAACTACTGATATGAGCTCGTCATCCTCAGAAATATTACGGGAGGAGCAATAATAGCAGCACTGAGCCATGGTCGTGTCGCACAGACCCTGCTGTTACTTGTGAGTAACATCCTGCTCCTCAGACAGCTCCAGAATCAAGATAAGGCGAATAAGGCTCCACTGACAAGAGTCATTTCAGGAAACATGGTTTACATCCATTCATCGGCAAGAGGAAGCGTCGTCTGCACACCCTCAGGGAGGGGAGAAGCTGTCAGACGCCTGCGTTCAACACAGGAAACGAGGCAGCTCCCCAGACAGACACAGGTGCCCAGCGCTCGCTCAGCTCAGCTAAGGGAGACTGTGCACCTCTATCACTCCTCGTGCCCTCCAGGTTCTCGAGAGGCCCCCTTCCCAGCAGTGTGAAGGACATGCTTGAAGAGGCATTTTGCACCGTGAAGACGTCATGTATAATGAGGCCCCCCCATCTCTCTCGAGGTCTGAGCCACTGGGTTTCACACCCAGGGGCTGCTGGCTCTCAGGCCTGTACCCCTCCAGGGCCGGGCTCACACGGGCTTCCCTTTCGTGGCCAGTCCGAAGTCTCTCCAGCCAAAGGCCTTGGACTTCCCTCTGTGCTCTGCCATATTGGTGTTTTGACTCCCCATTCCAAATTTCTTTTCTTCTAATTATCCCCATCCCACATTCTTCTGGCTGCCTAAGAAGATAGAGATAAAACCTGGCAGTCTAGAATTGGGCGTGATGGGAGCTCAATGGCAGGGAAGGGTTACTAGGGCGGAGGACTTTGAAGGTGGCTTCAGAGAGATGGAGAGATTCTATCAGGCTTGGGTGGAGGTACCTGGAACAGACTGAAAAAGCAGCATCTGAGATGAACTTCCAAGATGGGTACAACTCTGAAGAAAGAATGTGATGGGGAGGGTGCTTGTACAAGAAGAAATGGCATGACCAAAGGCCCAGGGGTTGGGGACACACGTGGGGACCGGGCAAGCTCAGCCTGGCAAGAGCACGGGGGCGGAGAGGGAGCAAAGGTTGGGGCCAAGTGGGGAAGGGGTTTGCAGCCAGGCTATCGGGCAGGAAATGTGCCTGGCGTTCTGTCACCAACACCTTGTCTGTCGTCACACCTGAGGGAACTGCCATTATCCACCAGTCTACCCCTGGGGTTACTGGAGGCTCCCAAAACCTTGCATCCATCCCCAGGTTGGGGAAACAGGACAGAAAACTGTTCGTGTACAAAAGCAAATCAATTTCAAACATAAGAAAAAAGTTTTATTTGAAAAAATAATAGTTATTGAATGATCTTCCACATAAATATACTTGAAAGGAGTGTTGCATTTTCCCTCCAGCTTATCAAAGGGCTCTCAGATGAGTCAGGCCTCCGATAACATTGTTAAAAGAGCGCTGAGACAAAAGCAGGCTGCAGAGCCCAGGCCTTGGAATGGCCCTGACATGGGCTCATCACTTTGAACCCCATTCAAGACACCAAATTTTCCAAACTCTCAGGTAGGAAAAAGGATAGATAGAAAACTTAAAGAAAAATGAACCCCTTTCTCTTGGGCTATCAATTTCTCCCTCCCATTAATCACTTCTCTAACCCAGGTGTTCTTAAGCAGATGTGTTCATTACAATCACCTGTGGAGTTAAAAATACACCTGCCTGGGGCTTCCCTGGTGGCGCAGTGGTTGAGAGTCCGCCTGCCGATGCAGGGGACACGGGTTCGTGCCCCGGTCCGGGAGGATCCCACATGCCGCGGAGCGGCTGGGCCCGTGGGCCATGGCTGCTGAGCCTACGCGTCCAGAGCCTGTGCTCCGCAACGGGAGAGGCCACAACAGTGAGAGGCCTGCGTACCGCAAAAAAAAAAAAAAAAAACACCTGCCTGGGACAATCCTGGGAGACCCACTCAGTAATTCTGGGGTAGAGCCGTGGCATGTGCTTTCTAAAACACTGAAACTCTGAAATATTATTCACTCGTTCACGTATACCCTGAACCCCTACTTTGGGCTGGGTGCTCCATGTTGCCTGGGAGGCGGCAGGCAAGACAGTTCAGTCCGCAACCAGCAGCTCTACGCACTTTGCCAAGTATGAGGAGACACCGGGGTGCGCGCAGCAGACAACACGCTCACCACAGCCGCAGCAACACCTACACAGCTACACGCTCGGCCCCTTTTATGAGAGCATTTCCTGCCCCCACTATACCAGTGGGACTCAAACTTAGATTTGAATCATCTGGCATACCTTCAAATCTCCAGATGCCCAAGCTGCGTTAAATCAAAACCTCTGGGCTGGTACCCAGGCATCTGTAGTGTTTAAGTTCTCCAAGAGACTCCAATAGACAACCGAGGTTGAGAAAGTTTGTATTGAGTTAATTTCTTAGAGGAGAGAAAAATCCTGTCTCCTTTTTTAAAAACAGCCTGCAGGAAGGCATGCTCAGCCAGAAGAGCCCAGATCCTGCCTCACTTTTGTCCTGGAATCCCTCCTTTTGGGAGGCCGGACAAGCAAGTTTGTGGAAGGGAAGGGGGTCAGGAGCAATACAACAGCAAGTACTTCCTGATGAGGGGGCTGAGCTGCCCCCTCCCGTCAGGAGGGAGAGATCCCTGTGGGAGCAGGCAAGAATGTAACCATCTGGGGCAAAGAATTAAACTAGAACTAACATACAGTTTAATTGTTAAACTAGATAATGTCCTCTGATAAGAGCTTACTTATCTCATTCATTTTGCTGTGTGATGCACATTAGACTCAACCTAATTTTACCGCTGAGGAATAGAGCTTAGGTAACTGGCCCCAGTCACTCTGCTGGTAACTTGCAAAGCCAAAATGAGCGCCTGAATGTCGACACCTGGAATGTCACACTTTGCTTAGGAATTAAAATGGGGGCCACCTAATAAGTCCTCCATATTCTCTGTACCTTGTATGTTCAGCTATTTCTTTTGTACATTTTTTCCAAAGTAACCATTAGCTACAACAAAGCATTAGCGATGCCCAGGGCTTGGATTAACATGAATTTGGAGGACTTATTTTTACATCTTCTATACACTGTATTATTATTTAGATATTCATATTTGTATCATTATTAATTGTAACTACTAATTACTTAACTCCTATTATGTCCCAGGCCTTTTACGCTCATTGTCTCAAACCCTCAGAACAATTCTGCAGGGCACGAGGCTTAGAGAGGGTAAGTAACTTGCTCCTGTTGGTGCTTCTTCTGTAACCTCCCGGCTGAACAGAGTCCCCAGTGGGGCTAGGCACCGGGGCCACATTCACCCTGACTGCTGGACAGAAGGTGAGGGCAGGCGCCAGGGGAAGGCGGGTCTCTGATGCTCAGACAGAGCATCCCCAGGTTGGACTGGAAAACATCTCTCTTCAGGCAGGCTGTTAGGTTCTGTAAAGTTATTAATATCGTAAATGCACGTAACACAATTTCAGGTGGAAAAGGCTTTCCTGCCCAGGCCCTGGGATAAACCACTTTGCAGATTATGAAATACAAAGAGTCAGAGTTCCAAACAGCAGACTTACAGGGAAGGTTTTGGAATGCAACTCAATTGTAGGTTAGGCACCTGCTGTTCTGAAGCAAAGGTCTTACAGGAGTGCTTTTGCCTACTTAACACTGGACTGCCTTCTTGTTTCCGGATTAACCACCACCACTGCTTGTTTTCCCCATCACAGATCATATCAATTTGCAACTGCATTTATAAAACGGCAGTTGAAAATCCAGAGAAACCTGTTTTTCAGAGATATTTTAGGAGGAACGATTTGCACTGCTAAGTGGACGGGGCCTTCTTGCAATCATTTAATAACTTATCGTAACCGATACTGGCGCCATCACAGGAACCCCATTTCAATCGCTTTCTGCAAATGGGACACTGGATAAATAGGCATTTTTCAACGTTGACTTACAGAGCTGCATGGTCAGATCTCTCCTTTCTCCTTCCAAATGAGAAGCTTCCCAACAGGTGAGGTTCTGAAGGCCAGGTACCTTCCTAGTCATGAGTGGAACTGACCCAGCACCAGGGGTGTGTGTGTGGGGGGGGTGTGTGGGGTGTGTGTGTGTGTGTGTGTGTGTGTGTGCGCGCGCGCAGGTACGCAGGAAATAAAGTAAAACAAGCTTCACGCTGCTCCAACCGCATATCCTGCGCACTCTCCCTTGAGACCGACAGCACCCACTTTTAAGACTGTGGGTCAGAGACAAAGCCTGTGCGGGAGGGCATGTCACAAGACAGAAAGGCAGATTCCTGGGCGTCTCCACAACCTGTGCCCTCAGCACCTCGGGGAGCCATCTCCCCGCTTCCCGAGGTGATTCTTCTGAACATTAAAGCTCGAGGCGGGCAAGCGGGGCGAAGGAGACCCAGGGCCTTGGGGCCCGCGACTCCGAGAGCTGATGGGGCGCAGGCACTGCCAGGCTGGCCTGACAGGAGCGCGCGCGAGCACTGCCCGCAGGCGTGGAGGGCTGCGCGGAACGCGGGCCGGGAGCGAGGGTCTCCCACCGCCGGACCCTCGCCGCTCCCGGCGCCGCACCTCGGCCCGGCGCCGCACTTCGGCCCAGCGCACCGCCCCGCCGCCCGCGCTCGGGTCACGGGTTAAAGGGCAAGGGGCCGGGGAGGCCATGACCACGCGTGTCCTCAGCCCGGCCCCTGGCCAGCGGCTCCCCTCACGCCGCCCCGAGCGCGCGGACAACGACGCGGGGGCTCCCGAAGGGGAGCGACGCCATTACCTGAACGCAGCCACGGGCTCAGCCTGGGGAACGTGGACCCCGGGCTTCAGCGTGGAGAGAAAGAGCCGCAGCCGCCGCGCGCCCGAGAGGGCCTGCGCCGCCGCCGCCGCCGCCACCATGGTCACTGGTCGCGCTCGCGCCGGAAGCGCGCATGCGTCGGGTCTCCCGGCCACCCTGAGCCCGCCCCACCGCGCCGCCCCGAGCACGCATGCGCCGGGCCCCTGGCATCCCTGAGCGCCCCCCGCCGCGCCGGAGGCGCGCGTGCGCCGGGTCTCCTGGCAGCACTGAGCCCGCACCTGCCCAACCGCCCCGATCACGCATGCGCCGGGCCCACAGGCAGCCGTCGCCGCTCGGCGACCGGTCTAGGCTCATGGCCGGAACCCCTTGGCTTCTCGCTGGTCCCTGACAGGAGCTGGGCTCGCGATCCCCGGAGGCGCCGGCACAGAGCGTCTTCCCTGGGTGCCAGCTCTGGCTCAGCGGTGACCGGCGTCTCGCCCTCACGGAGGAGTGGGCCCGGGGCCCCCGGCCTGGCTGCTGACTGGGATGATGGGGTTGGTTTATTTTCTTCCCACCGCCTCACACCCACTAGGATCCGCGTCCTCAGAAATCCCAGAAATTAATGAGTGTCGACGAGGGCGTGGAGAGTGGTGCGGGGGGGGGGGGGGCCGCGAAAATTAAATTAGAGCTTCCGTTCTATCCTGCAGACAAGCAAGGCCTCGGGTACCTGCGCTCCGCTTCCCAGCATTACTCACGGGAGGTTCAGAGACGGAAAGTAGGACTGTGGGTATCAGGGGCTGGGGGAGGGGGAATTAGTGTCTAATGGGTCAGAGACTCAGTTTTGCAAGAAGAAAGGAGCTCTGGAGAGGATGGTGCTGATGACAGCACAACGATGTGAATGTCCTTAACGCCACAGGCTGTACCTTTTTTTTTTTTTT